TCCAGTCACATTGGTTGTCTGAGGCTCATTCCCTAGTAGATTTCTCAGGCAGGGCTCATGTGAATTATAGTCCCTGAGTTCTTATATATTTCTAAGTTTGTTGTCACTATACTGGAAGATCCATTTGGCAAAGAGTAAAATCCTTAGCTCACATATTCTTTTTTCAATACCTTAAATTAATGCTCATCAACTGCCTTTTTTTTTAAACAAATTTATTTCCAGTAACTTGCAAATTTCCATCTCTTTTAGCTATCCATATTTTCCTAGGTTTATTTTTTACTTAGCTTATTGTTGGATAGTTACACATTTTTTCTTTTTTGCGGGGGTTGAGACAGGGTCTCACTGTGTAGTTGAGACTGACCTGGAACTCACTATGTAGCCCAGGCTGGTCTTGAACTCATAGTAATCCTCCTGCCTCAGCCTCCCGAGTGCTAGGATTACAGGCATGCGCCACCATGCCTGGCTCGACTGCCTTTTTGCATAAAAAATCTTCTGAAAAAATGTCTGCTGCTAATCCAACTTCTTTTCTTTAGAGAAACATCAATAGAAATTTACACGCTGCTTAACATGGTAGCTCCTAGCTACCATATGTAACAGGAGCTGGATTTGTAACGTTAATTTTAATGTTCGCACGTAGTTTATGTGCGGTAGAGGTGGTAGAGAACTGTCCTTCTTGGCCCTTCCTCTTCGTCGAGGTTGTGAGAGGATGTCCGAGAGGAGTTACCAGAACAAAGACTGGGTCACAAATAAGGAGGGAGTGAGTATAGCTGGACGGATGAGCGAATGCCCTGGTAATGTGTGAACACTGCAAAACTGTCATGGTGACACTGGCAGGGTCTTGCATAATGACAACTTCTGTGGCTGCAGACATCCCTGGGAATTTTCTTCTTGGTTCTCCAGGAAATTGGACAGCTGTGTGACGTGTGAGGAGGACATTTCCAGTGTCAAAAATTATAACCAACTACAAAAATTTTTTTAAATCCAAGCAATAACTATCTCTGCTGTGTAAACATTCCAGGCAGGAAAATGACTTCTCCCAGCAACCCTGCCTGTAAAACCCAGGACCGTGCTCACTAGGCAGCTTACCTGGCTGCTTCCTGCACCATCTTCTGTGACTGTGGTATACACTGACACTCTTCAGGGTTGACCCAGGTCCATCCTTGCTTAGAACCATCAGTGCTGAAAGATTTCCCTCACCTGTGAACCCTACTGTGCCAAACAAAAAGGAAATATTCACCTGCTGGCAAAATCCCAAAATACCAAGCTCTGCTATCGGCCCTGTGCCTGTGCAGATGTTTTCATTTGCCCTTCATCAGGGGATGAAAAGCCAAAGATAAGCAGCAGCTGCCTCTGTGTTAGGTGACTCAGGCCCCCGAGAGGTGCCTAGCAATCCAGCCAACCTGTCCGCGTGCTGCCCCTGCTCCCAGACCCACCTACCTGTGAGTACCCCAAAGCACCTGTGGCCTGACAATCTCAGGCAGCCTCCGGTAGGTGTCTCTCCTCCAACCTGCCTCTTTATATCTGCTTTTGTGGAGGTTTGGGAATGTGCCACCTTCTTCTAGAAGTCTCCCTTGACCTTTCCGGCCAAGTCATATGTCCATAACACCCAGGGCCTGTCTCTGGCAAAGCTGCACAGAGCAGGGGTTAGGCCCGTAGATTTGGGGGTCAGACTCACCTGAGTCAAACCTTGGCTCTGCTACAGACTTGCTATATGAGCGTGGGCAGGTCTTTCTGCCCTAGTTCCACTTTATAGAATAAAGTTTATGATAACACCAACCTCCGAAGAGTTTCGTGACAATTAAGTGAGAGAAGGCCTGCGGGGCAATAGTGTAGCACTTGGCGTAAGAAGGTGCATTGGATGGGTGATTGCATGCTTTGTAAATTAGTATTTTAACACAGACGACTGTGATAAGCACGGTACTCATCTGTCTCCCAGATGCCCCACAGACTCAATTTTATTCCCAAATCCTAGAGAACAAAGAAAAGACTAAATACTTTGGCAAATACACCTTCCAACAGGCCACGGACCAAGGAATTTTAAGGGTCTGGGTGTGGTTCCATGGCAGAACACTTACCTGTAGTGCAGGAAGGCCTTGGTTCCATCCCCAGCACCACACACACACACACACACACATTAAATGGCAAATGATAACATTAAAATCTAACCTAGAGAAACTCAGAATTAATCACCAGATGCCTTGCCTCTTACCCACCCTAGCTCCTCAAGGCTGGCCTCCCAGCCCCCCATTCTGGAGCCTCCTTCTGTCCCCTGTCCCCGTCCCCTGTCCCAGCGTGAGGAGACGGGCGATGAGCAATCCAGGCCCCACTCTCTCGCTGTAGCATGGCACTCAGATCTACATGCAGAACTGGGGAAGTAAGCATCTTCATGGCCATTTTACAGATGGTAAAACTGAAGCCCACAGAGATCAAATCCCTGCACAGAGCCCCATTCAATAAGTGGAAGAACCTGGGTGTTATGCCAAATGCCTCAGAAGGCCAAGTCCAAGAGCCCCTTCCACTTGATCTGTACCAGGAGGCATTTGCCGAGGTAAGGCAGAGTGTGATGCCGCACGCCTGCCCCCAGGGGCGTAGTACAATGGGGAAAGGTCAGGTGCTCACCTGGAACCATCAGCACCGTGCAAAGGAAAATATGTACATTGGGTGCAAACAACAGAAACTCAGCTGTAGCTACCAGGGTGCTCAGAATCCACAGAAAGATGGGAGAACAAGGCTCAGGAAATGCACACGAATCCATTGAGTCCCCAGAGCAAATACAGAGCCCCGGGATCTTCCGGATAAGGTCCTCCGCGGTGGCTGGACACCACCACTGCTGGCACCTGCAGGCACTGCATGGGGAAATGCAACTGAACTCTGTTTCAAGTCTCTCACTTGTGTGTCTCCCTGGCAGCAGTGTCCCCTGCCCACATGCCCAGAAACAGGGCATGGACCATTGGCCCCCTTCAGCTTGTACAGAGGGTAGCGTATCTCCTGCTAGTGCTTACACAATGGGGCTTTACTTTCAAGTAAGCCCCCACACCGATGACAAATACCCAGGGCAGTGATTAAGAATTTAAAAACATGGATACAATGGCATGAGATCCAGACCTTTAAAGGAAGGAAGGACCCACAATGAGGGCTGGGAGAATTTTGGAAGAGGTGCCTCCTGACTTGGGCCTACAAGCGCACAGAAGATGAAGTTTCATTGGTAACATGCTACAGTGAGTAAACGGCAGTGTGGAGAGAGACAGGCCTTGCTGGAGGAGGCCGGTGCATCCCTGGGACTGTCTGACTGTGTAGAATGTGCCTGGCCATGGATATTGTGCCTCCCAGCAGGGACAGGGGAACCAGAACACTATGTTCCCCTCCTACTCCTTGCTTATCCTTTGGGCCAGGCCTCTGAGACAGTGAATGCACACATGCTCCCTTCTCTGGTAGTGGAGGAGCCCAAAGCCAAGGTCACCCTGCCTTCAAGGACCTGAGTTCTTGTAGGCCTGGTGCCAGCTCTTTGCCCTGATCCAGCGGGGATCTGTCCTCACCCAGTGGCCCTGCCGCGGGAGGGTGTGGTGGAGCAACCAGGGGAATGGAGCCCGTTAAGTCTTGTCCATGCACACAAGGTAAGCTCACATCCGGCCATTTCTGGAACGCTGCGGCCAAAATGCAGAAGGAACACGTCTGGGAGAACAATGGATATTGATTACTCTGGCAACTGCTGCAGGTGAGCTCAGGAGGCGGTTTGGTCTGGGGCTCAGGGTTGGCTCTTACTGGGACGTGTAGCAGTTAATCATCACACCGCTCCACCTGGGCCCCTGGGTGCCAATCAACACCCAGAGCCTGTGCCATCCCACCCACCTCTGCGCTGCTAGGAGTGACCAGTGCTAAGCCAAGGCCTAACACCGCCCTCCTGAGACAGGGACGGGGCCTGGACACTCCGGGCTTGGTCCTCCTGGCCTCCTTTATCCTGGACACACACCACTGAGAACTTCCTAGACCGGGCTGTGTTCATGCTGCATTTGTTGGATTCTCTGTCTAACACACATGCAAGGACAGGTCACCTCAGTGGACTGGGAAGCTGGTGACTTTGTGCATCTCCTTATTCTACTGACAACACATATGTATTTTTCAGGCCTCAGTGTGGGTATAGATAGGAGATAGCACACAGGCCTCAACCCGGGCACCCCACCTGCTTCCTGCCCAGGCTGCCAGTGGCTGTGCAATCCGGAGGCTCTGCCTGGGGCTCACCTGTTCACAACCCAAAGGACAGTAAGTGGGAACAGCTAGAAGGATTCTCTCCCTTTCACCCTCAGGTGATTTTGTGCAGCTTCTCGGAGTGGGACCAAGGGCTTTGCCTCCAGGACCATCCTGGCCTCTGTGCCCATCCTTCCTTCTACTCCTCTGCCCATGACTTCAGCTCCCTGAGGTCACTGTCCCTTAAAAGGTCTCACACAGAAGCCCAAGCCCGAGAAGTTCTGTGACCCATGAAGGGTGTTCTTCCCAGAAACCCCGGGATGGCCCGGCCATCTCAAACCTGGAGGGTGCCCTGCCTTCTCTACTCACGGGGCTTCCTTGGTTCCTTCCCTGTGCAGCAGAGCTGCCCCGCGGAACTGCGCCAGGGTGAAATGAAATACACAACACAGGGTGCACGTGCCTGACACCCAGAGTCAGCAACCACCACCACCTGAGGGCTGGGCAGCCCATGGTGGGAGAGGGAACCCTGTGCACCCAGATGCCCACCCGACATCCCCACCGCACCTCCCTCCTCCACAAGTCCCGAGACCCAGCACTCACAGACTTGGTGATACATGCCCAGAAGCAGGGCCAAGATTCCAGCAGGTGCTCAAGATCAACAAGCTTTGGGCTTCCTGGTTGAGGTCATGCAAGCACAACACGTTCTCTCTTTAAGGAAAGGGGGGAGAAACCCCAGATCTTAGCCCTTCTCCTTCTGTGACACTAACCCTGTCCAAACCTCTAACCTCAGTTTCCCCCTCGGAGGCCCTAGCCCATACACCCAAAATGGGGTTCCCTTCTCCTTCTGTGACACTAACCCTGTCCAAACCTCTAACCTCAGTTTCCCCCTCGGAGGCCCTAGCCCATACACCCAAAAAATGGGGTGCAGCTTGGAGGGTCTTCTCCATGCAACAGGCCCCACTTTGGCCCAAAGAGCTCTGAGGCCTACACTGTGTGCCCTGAGCCAGTGTCTGACCTGGGGTAGGTAGCAAACGGCCCCCAGGGACTTTGCTCTCACAGGACCCCTGCAGCACCCCCGCATTCGACTCCGGCTGCTCTGCAGTATCAAGAGTGTAAGAGGGCAGCACAGATGGAGGCTGGAGCCTGGAGCCGCTCTGGAGGCTGGCATGCATGGCCAGGGTCAGCCGCTGGCACTGCCCCTGGCCCGGAGGCCGAGGTGGCAGGCTTCCTGACACACCCCTTTCGAGCCATTGACCCATGAGGGTCCCTGAGTCAGCTACAAATTCTGCTCAGCCCACAAGGGCAGCTCCTGGATGGCCTCCCACTCCCTTCTCTCCCCTGGCTGCCCAGCACCTTCGAGGCCATGCATCTCTGTGGGACTTTGGAGTCCGTGCTACGGAGGCCCATTCTCAGTGGCTCAGTTCTCCCGCTGACCTGTCTTTCCAGCAGCGTGCCAAGGCCCAAGCTTGTGGCCTCTGGGAGTCTCAGGAAACCGATGCAGATCCCACGGCTCCAGCTCAAGCTGTGCTGGCTCCTTTCCAGGATTACCAGGCTCTCCGGAGAATGTGCTCCGAGGGCCCTTGCTGGTCCCTTTGCCCTTCCCTTGCCCACTATGTCCAGTTACCCAGAGGCTGTGTCACCCTCTCTCCCCATGGTCCCTGGCACAGCCTATTCCTGCTCATCGGGATGACCCTCTCTTCTCTAATGGCCCCTCCTCATCTTTCAAGACTCAGGCTGCATCTTTTTTTCTTTTTTTGCTGGGGGGTGGTGGTGGTACCAGGGATCAAACTCGGGACCTTGCACTCGCGAGGCAGGCGGCAGAACCGCTGAGCTAAATCCCTGGCTACTCAGGCTTCACCTTTAGGAGAACTTTGCAGATGAAGTTGCCTCCAGGCCAGGCTGAGTCCTTCTCTGGGTGCCTCAGCAGCAAGGCTCTTTTCTTTAACCCATCCTTTGCTTGCTTTTCTGATTCCATCCACTGTTTGGGCTCTTTAAAGACAACCCACTTCACTCCCTGCGTGCTTAGGAAAGTCTCAGAATGTAGTAGATCTCAAAACATGTGCATGGGACGGGGGGATGGGTGGATCAGGGGGTACATGTGTGAGTGGGCGGGCGGATGGATGGGTGGGTGGATGGAAAAGTAGCAAAATCTCCTGAAACTCCTTGTATCCTACGTAGTCAATGAATGGTCTTCTGTGGAGCTTAGAGGATGGGTGTCCTGCAGTGCATGGGTATGGGAGCCTGCTGCACGGGATGCCCCCGCTGCAGCACCGTCTCTCCATGATTCAGACACAGACACCTCCTGAAACAAGCAGCCCGGGAACAGGACGGAAGCCACTCTTGGCCCGTGACTGATGTCTCCGTCCAAAGGCAGACCTTCCTCAGAAAAACCACCAGCATCCAGAAGTGGCTCGGGCACATGGAAATGGAAGAGATGTAGCTGCACAGACTGAACAGTGCTGCTGATGGGGACACAGTTCCTCCTGGGCTGCAGTGCCACGGGCACTGCTGGCATGGGCACAGCAAGTATTTGCCTCAGTGGTCTCCCATCTGACTGATTACAACAGAAATATTCTTTTGTTAGATGTTACCATAAGTAAAAATGCATTTGCTTTGGATACTATGACAATTTCTTACGTTATCCTTATTGGACTCATGGTGACAGAATGGCTGCTGCCCCTCCAAAAATTCACAGTGACATTCCAGCCAGAAAAACAAGGGAAGGATGAGTGGCCAAAAGATTTGTTCCTGGCAAAACTTTGGCCTTCCCTGAGGACTTCTTCCCAAGTCCTGGTGTCCAGCGCTGTCATACGTCCACCCCTAAACAAAAAGGAGAGAGCACAGGAGAGACAACTAGTTCTAGTATCTGCAACAGACGAAGGGGAGGAGAGATAGCTGTAGGTGGAGGCTGGGCAAGCAACCCGCAATGTCTGTTACGGACAAGACGAGCTGTAACTTCCAGCGGAGTGGGGCAGGGCCTCGCACTGCTCTCTGGAAAGAAGAAGCTCTTAACCTTGCGTTTAGGGACACCGGGCCTCCCTCCGGGCCGCTTCCACATTTCGGCCATGGTTTTGTGTTGGTCTGGTTTAGTGCTTAGTGTTCCAGTCTTTCGATGTGTTTTGAGACAGGAGCTCACTGTGCAGTCCAGGCCAGCCTCGAACTCACTGTGTAGCCCAGGCTGGCCTTAAACTCTAGGTCCTCCCGGCTCAGCTGCCTGAGTGCTGGGGTCCCAGGCGCACACCCCCACGCCCTGCCCTGGCTCCGATTCGGAAGCCTTTCTTGGGGGTGCCTCACTTGGGCTCTCGGGTACGGTGCCGGGTGCTCACCTGCTCCTCCTGGGGACGTGGCGCACTCTGCCCTCTCAGGGCCACCCCAGGCCTCTCCCGGCCCTGCTGTCCTGCTCCCGCAGCCGGGTGGAGGTGTTGGAGGAGCCACAGTGATCTGGCAAAGGCATCAGGGGGGGAAGTGGCCCATACCCACGGGGAGCTGGGGGCGTTGGCACCCATGAGTGGTCGGGGCCTGGCAGGGTGTGGATGAAGTTGAGACCAGTGGATGAGACTGGTGAAACCATCTCTCCGTGCAGACCTTCTCAGAGCCTTCAGCGCACATTTCCCAAACTTACTTGCACTCTCTCCTGCAGTGCTGAGGCTGGCACTCACTCCCGCTCTTGGCCCGTGACTTGTACATTCCAGGCAAGTGCTCCAGTGCTAAGCCGCATCTCCATGTCCAGCCTGTAGTTCATTCATTCAGCCCACACCTAAGTCCTGAGTCGCACACTGGGCACGGGACAGAGTGGTGAGCTGGATGATATGGCCCTGCACTCGTGGAGCTCTCTGGACTGACGCAACTCCCCTCTCTCCTTCCCTTGCTCGGTGCTGGAGGTTAGCGTGCAGGGTGCACGTTAGGGGGCGCTCTGGGGCTCGGAGGGCCACATCGCTGCTCCTCCACATTGTCCCACCCTAGTCCTCCCACACACCAGGCGCGGCATCCTCGCGTGCCCCCTCCTGCAGTTTGGCCATTTGTTCAACCTTTTCAGGTAGGCTGGGCTGTAGCTCAGTGCAGGCACAGCATGGTGAGGCGCTGAGTTTGAATCCCAACACCACAAAGGAAAGAAAGCAAAACACCTTGCAGGCTTGGGTGAGGTTAGTCGTGTCAGCGCCTGCAGTCTTCCTGGAGGAGGTGACCCTTGATCTAAGTGGGGGAGGGGAGGGGAGGGGGAGCTACTGGGCCAAGGAGGGCACTGTGGAGGGTGGAGGCCTGCTGGAGCTGCTCCGGGAGGGCTGATGTGGTGAGAAAGCAGGCTGGACAGCGGACCGGTCCGGGTCCCTGAGGGCCCTGAGGAAGGGGTCCCATGGCTCCTCTTAGGGCTGGCGGAGCAGCTCCGCCGGATTAGTGCTTAGTCATGTCAATCGGCACTGCTCAGAGGTAAGGCCCACTGCCAGCCTGATTTTACAGAGGGGAAACTGAGGCACAGAGAGGCCTACAACCTGTCCTCAGCCACCCGGCTAGTGAGTGGCAGCAGGCTGTGTGGCTTCAGAACCCCTGCACCACCCACCCAGGAGCACCTCAGTCCTGCTGAACCGTGCGCTGCACCCTCTGTTGCCACCCAGGGGGCGACGCCAATGACCTAAAGCCTTCAAGCCTCCCAGCCCTCAGAGGCAGCTTGTCTTCCAGGGACGTGCAGCTGGCGGCAAGCCCTGGGACGGTGGCCTCCAGCCAGGGACATGGTTTGGCCCCAGAACATCACTGAGCGATTTGTGACTCCTTCGAACTGCTGAGAGGCAGGTAAGGAAAATGAGGAAGGACCAGTGCCAGTGACCCCAGGGATCTGGGAAAGCCCCCCATTCCTCCTAACCCCTGCCTGCGTGTCCACATTCTGCCCGTGCAGTGTACCACCCAGGTCCTAATCAGGGTGGAGGACCTGATGAAGCCAGTTCAGCCAATTCTGTTCACAAACCCCTTGGGCGCCCAGAGCCCACACCCTGGCTGCCCCCCTGGCCTCTCTTCCTCCTCAGCCTTGATAATTCTGTGTGCAGGGGTCTCCACGTCCCCTAGCGCTCCCTCCGCAGGAAGAGAATCAGCCTGCCCTGAGCACAGTCAGCCCAGGCTTGGTGGGCTTCCTGAGCTGTACCTACCTCTGAGCAGGGCTTTGGGCAGAGCCCTGGCCTAAGGTCTCCAGTGAGACCCAGAGATGTTTCCCAGGCATCTGCATTCACTAGGTGCTGCCTTACTGGCTCGTCTCCCTGGCGGCCTTGGCAAACAGGGACAGAAGGCTTCCCTGAGCCATCGCAAGACAGCCAGCCCCTCACCCACCCACCAACCAAGGTCCTCACTGCATATAGGGGCTTCCTTGCAACTTCGGGAGATAATAGCCCAGAAGCTGAGGGCCTTAGAGGCCAGCAGATGACTAGGCCAGGCTTACATGGGGGCCTTGGAAGGCTGCTATGTGCAAAGCCCCTCCATTCCACCTGGAACTCCTACAACCTGCAAGGGACGGGCTGAGGCCTAGCGCCTTCCTGAGCTCACATACCAGCCGCGGGGGGTGTGAGCCCAGTTACGAATAATCCACATCTAGGTGCATCGAGAGCATGGGAAGGTGAGGGGGACAGTGCCAGGTGGCTGGAACAAGACACACAACACGAGGAGGTGACACAGAGAGCACGGCCCAGGGAGAAGAGGTGACTCATCAGGACACACTGTGGGTTACAAAACAGAGCAGGCTGCTGCCAGCCGCGTGCTCACAATTACCTTTTTCGCTTCCTTCCCTGCCCTTCCACTCCCTGTTCCCTGCCTGCTGAGAACATTCTGTTCTTGTTGAACCTCTCAATGAACAGGGAAACTTCTTCTTCTCTGGCAGACTGAGGGCTTCGGCTGCCTGGGATCATCAGTTCCGGGCTGGGACCGCACACAGGACCCAAGTGGGCCGGACTAAAGGGCACACCTGAGCCACCTCGCAGCCGGGGCTCTCGGTCAAGCTCAACCCTGGGCTTAGTCCCAGGCCTCCATAAGCGGCGCTGCCAGCTCTGCAGATTGGTGTCCCTGAGCCCTCGGGCACAGCCTGGCCCTCCACCTCACTGGCTACCCCAGCCCAGCTGCCCGGCGCCGACACCATGAGTTGCTCGCTAGGCAGTGGCAACTGCCCATGGGGTGGGATCTCAGTGCCCTTGTTGGGAGGAAAAACGGAAACGCTGTGAGGTGAAAGGGCTTGTGGCTACCGCTTACTCTGAAACTCCCTTGAATCAATTTATTAAGGGTTGGGGAAGGAGGGAGAGGGAGAAAGCCAATGCGGTAAAATATTAACATTTTAAGGAGGCTGAGTGACTCATACTGGAAATTTTTCGTGCTACCTTTAAAACTTTTCTGTAAGTTTGAACTTATTTCTAAGGGCTGGAGTGTGGCTCAGTGGGTGTGTGTGAACCCCTGTGTTCAATCCCAACACCAAAGGTGTGGAGGAGGGTGGGAGGGAGATAGAAAAGAGGAAGAAAGGTAGAAAGAAAGAAAAGACAAGTCTTCTAGAATAAAAGTTGCAGAAAATGGGATGGGGCATGAGTTCCAAGGCCACACCGCCCTCAAGCCTCAGGTGCAGGAAGCTCACCCAGACTCTACGCAGGGGTGTGGGGCCCTCCCTCCTCCTACCGTTTCCGCGGCTGCTTCCCAAGGAGACACTGGGCATGTGAGGATGGGGACAGATCTTATCCAAGGACTGCTCTCTCCTGAGCTGTGCCCAGATTCCCCAGGGCGAGCTGGGGCTGGGCTGCAGGGGACCCTATGCATACTGCTCCTCCTGGGACCCTGCACTCGGACCTCTGCTTGGATCCCCGAGGCCAGGCCTTCCCAGTGCCCTGACCCACTGCTCGCCCTCCCAGGAACTGGGCAGCCCCACCCCTCCCTCCAGGGGATTAGAGAGGAACAGTTGAGGGCAGAGGGACAGAGACCCACCAGGTGGGTCGCAGCCATCAGGACCTCTTGTTTGGCCTGAGAAAGGAGCTGCGGGGTAATGGGGGGCGAAGGAGAGGCCCCATCTTATCATCTGTCCCTCCGATGAGCACCTTCCTGTGTGATGCCACAATGCAAACGAAGCCCACATCCTTGGGGCCCAGGTCCCAGCCCTCACTGCGGCTCTGTGCTGTTCCTGGTCTGCTGTGGCCTTATGACAGCATAAGTCAGGGCGCACAGCGACAGTGAAGGTGAAGGGGTCCTGAGAGGTGAGGGCCACAGCATCTCTGCTCAGTACCTGTAGGGAAGTATTCCTGCGAGCCACAGGGTCACACCCTGTGTGGGCCAAGACCTGCCTGGGAGTCGTAAAGGGAGCATGGAGCCAGACTGCAAAGTCCCTAAGGACGGACACAGGCCGAGCACAACAGAAGCAGCGAGGCCCATGTGGGTCGGGCCTCATGACCAGCCCCTCTTCACACCCCAGAGTTTGAAAGGCAGGGCTGAAGATCCCTATGCTCTAATCCTGCCACGGGAGACCAATGCCTCCTCCTGACTCGGGAGCATGCAAAAGACTTTGACTCTCAGGATCCCAAGATGTTTCTTTTTCCTTTGGTGGTAAGGAGGATGGAACTAGGGCCTCGCGCCTTCTGGGCAAGCGCTCCACCACTGAGCCATGAGTGTACTGTATACTCCCAGCCCCAGTTCCAAGGATGTTAAGAAGCCTGTGTGCCAGGAAATGGGTGAATACCGAATATGTGCTTTTCAATACCACTGCAGGCTTTGGTGCTGTACGAAAGAATCTTTCATCCTCTTGAAGAGGCCACCTATGTTCTTTTATTTATGGCACCGGGACGAACCTGGGACCCTGTGCACACCAGGCAAGCCCTTGTCCGCAGAGCCAAGTCCCAGCCCCATGGTTCCCCTGCGGAGGCCATCACAGCTCTCCTGCTGTGTCCAGGCCTGGGCCAGGGCTGGAGCGCCTGAGGCCAAGTGACTCAGATGCTGGCCCAGGGGCTCCTGCTGGGGCTGTGAGAACTGAGGACAATGTGGTACCTCCAAAGTGCCTAGTTGGAAGAGGTCCTGGGGATCCCCTGCAGCAGGTGGGTGAGGGCACCCCACAGCAAGGAGCCAGAGAGTAGCGCCAGTAGGCCAGATGACACCACTGGGTTTGCAGGTGGTGGGGGAAGGAGGCACAAACACAGGCCTTCTCCATACAGGTGAGTGTTCTGTGCTTCCCACGAGCCATCACCCTGAAACCAGACCCCCACCTGTTCTTGGGAAGCAGGTGTGAATGTCCTTATTGAACGGCCTCAGAGCCCAGGGCCCAGAGAAGAGCACACAGTGATCTGGCCTAGTTCCTTAGCTGTCCCAGGTTTCACAGGTGGCAGCAGGTATGTGCTCCTGGGCCTGGCTCCCTGCACCATGGCTGGCAAGAGGTGGGGAAGGCAGATGTCCCCCTCTGCCCCCACCCATGCTCATGGGAGCCTCCTCATTTTGTGGCCTCTCAGGCACAGCAGCACAGTGAAGGACCGGGGGAAGGTCCTTTGCCCAGCATGGTGGCCCAGGGTGTCTGGTGGGCTCAGGTGAGGCTCTGGGGAAGGCACCGCATCTCCTTGCACTGCAGCGGGAACGTGGACCCACAAGCAAGCGCTGCCAGCCAGCTTAGGAAAGAACCAGAAGGGAGGAAAGTGGGGGAAGAGGAGGAGAAGGCAGAGAGGCTCGGACCCCAGGAACTGCCCCCTGAGCTGGCTACACCCCAAGGGCAGGTCCTCTCTTGCAGAACGGCACCTTTCTCTGACTGCTTTTCTTCTTCTTTTGTCCACCTATCTTATTGTGTAAGGCAACACACGTACAAAACCAGGTCCCGAACAGACGCACAGCTCAATGATTTATCACAAAGCAAACACCCATGCAGTCACCACCTGATCCAGAAATAGTCTCCACTGTGCTGCCCTAGAACGGGGGCCAGCTCAGCCCGCTCTCGTGACATTCAAGTACTCAGGGCTGTGCCCTTCCTCTGATGTCCCCTTGGCATCCTCAGACATCACACGGCTTCCCGCTGTCTCTTGTTCTTTCCCTGCCATCCTTCCTACCCAGCTGTCACTCGCTGTGACCGGAACTCCAGTCACACTTACCTGGCGTGTTGACTGGGCTTCGGCTGCTCTGGCCCCCGCCTCACCTCACCAGCAAAGCACTGAGAAGGTTCCTGGGACTGCGGCTCCTGAGGTTGAGAGCCTCCTAGATTTCACCTTGTGCACCTCTTAATCTGACTGCTTACCTGCCCCTCCCATCATGCCCTTGCACCCTTTATTATTACACAAAACTGGAGTGTAAGTGAAGCTCCTCTGAGTGCCCACCCCAGCACATCATTGATCTCGAAGAGGGATCATGGGAACCTTGGATCTGCAGCCAAGCTTGGGTCTCTTGGAGGCTCACTGCTGCCATCCGAAGTGAGGTGGTGATCTCGCAGGACCGACCCCGTGACCTTTAACCACTCCAGGTGCTCAGTGCCAGGACTGAGCTGGGAACACCCAGGGGCGTCAGAGTTGGAGAATTGGTTGGTGTGGGAGGTGAAGTACAGAGAAAGCAGTGTGCCCACCTTGGCACGGGGTAGCTGTGTTCCTTTGCAGCATGGCTTGGCTGGCACCGCATCACCTCCGGCCCCAGCAGTAACAATGCCAGCAGAGTCTGAACCAGCTCAGTTACACCTCAGCCCTTTCAGAAGCCTGCAGCCCTGCCACATCCCAGTCTAGCCCCTCCAAATAACTCTGGGTTTTGTTTTCTGTTTCTTGTACTGGAGGTAGAGCTCCAGGCCTCTCAAAAGCACTCTACCACTGAGTGCCACTTCCCAGGAGCCCTTTTTATTTTAAGACAGGTTCTCACTAAGGTGCTAAGTTGCCCAAGGTGACCTCAAATCTGAGACCCTCATGCCTCAGCCTCTCCAGGCTGTACCATGGATGCTGAATGTGCTTCTACAGCCTGTTTCGTTCAGTGATAATTTTGGAGAATCCAGTATGCAGTATGCAGGCCCAACAGGCTTCTAGGTCCCTTGCAGCTTTGCATCTTTAGGTCTGTGTGCTTCGGCTCTGGCAGCAGTCCTGCCACATAGTCGTGTGATGCAGGACTGGTGTCCTCCCACCCAGTGTCTGTCCTCTCCGGGCCAGAGACTTTCAGGATTGGAAGAGGCTGGGCACCCTCAGCTCAGCCTGACAGTGAGCCTCTGTGTGCACAGTCCAGCTCCAGACTGTTTGGGCTTCAAACATTCTGTAGTGGGGCTTTGGAAACCTGCAGGCGCTTCTGTCTTTCCAACAACAATGCACTGTTTTTCCTTAAAGGTAACAGTGCACACTCAGGTTTGTCAGGCAAGTAGAGCTCACATGAAGATTCTGAAGGAAGCGAGGGGCCACAGCCACTCCCTTTTAACTCCACATCTCCCCCCGAAGCTTCAGAGCAAGAGGTCACTGGGAGCACCCTGGCCTGCAGCACCCAGCATGCTGGGGATCAGAAAGCGGAGTGGAGGTGACAGTAGCAGCAGCGCGCAGACCCTGACTATGGGCCCACTAGTCGCTCCTCCTTTTTCCTTCTTTCTCCTTTTCCTCCTTCTGCCCCTCTTGCCTTTTCTTTTTCCTTTCTCTTTCCTTCCTTCCATGCCACTGTGGCAGAGAATGCTGGGTCGACGGCTAGGCTGCACCGCTCACCCCGCCGCCCACACTGCCAGTGGGGCCACCTGAGGGTCCCCTGCTCGCACTACTGAGCAGCAGTGATGGGCGCTACTCCACCCCCAGGCCTGGCCCCAGGGAACTCCCCTCACCCCTTTTCCTCCATCCAGAAGAGCAAAGGGGGCGGTGGAGGCTCAGAGGCCCCCTAAACGTCGGAATTACAGGGTGGAAGGAATGGGGTCCCTGGATGACCGCCTGGAACACAGCCCTGGCCTGAGATGGGAGGGGAAATAAACCCGTGTGTGTCCAGCACGCAGCGTTGCCACTGGCCCTTCACAGCCCCAGCCCAAGATCTGTGGATCCCAATTTCAGATGGAGCCCTTCGGGGGAAAACTGCACCTGCACAAACAGGTGAACTTTTGTGCGCCATGGTCCCCTAACGAGCACAGACACAGGGCCAGGACTCGGCGTGCAGTGTCACCAGCCCTCTGGAGATGATCATCTTAGGCCCTCAGCGCAGGAGGAGGTGGGCTGACATGCGCCACAGAGGACCCATGCGCCTGTGGGCCGTGGTGCCCACAGGAAGCCTGGCACCAGTGCCCATGGATGCCAAACTCACATGGCCATGGCACGAGACTCACCATCCCAGGATACTCCCACTTGTGTCTTCTTCTAACAGTGATTGTCATAGTGGTATTGTTCCAAAGCCTCAGGAGTCTTTGTAACGTCGTTTGTTTGGAACACTTTGCACACAGTTAATCTACAGACCCG